TTGTTTTCCAAGTAAGAGATTTTTTGCAGCATGAAATTCTCTTACCTCACTCTGCATTGATGTAGGAATCTTCCCAAGCAGAACTTCTACCTGCAAAGAGGAGTAAATGAAGAGGACCAGTTGGGTAGCAGTCAGTATTTGTATCGAGTGCAAGCATGCATTCAAGTGTAGATGCTTGCACAAAAGCATCTGATTAAAATTATGCAGTAGAATATGTTATGGAATATATTAAAAGCTAATGTTAGAGATGCAGGACTGTCTTCACATCACTGTCACTTGCATTTTCACTTGTTTCTTGCTGTTTCCTTCCCTAGTGCTTTGTTAGCAGATCATGAAGTTGTTTACAGATGTTGCATATTAAGACAAGCAATCTGGTACTTTTCTCTTTACTTCATTACTCTAAAGTAGTCAGTTGGCCCAATTCCAGAAAGCAATTATATCAAGATAGGTGACTGACCTGGAAGAAGCAGGTCAGGGCGTGAACAACTAATCTAATTTCTTCTATCACCCCGGCCTTTTTTCTTGTAAAAACAGGATGCTGTCTTTTCCTTTCTTCAGCAAGACTATGAGCAAAGTCTCCTAGACTTCTCCATTCCATGTGTTGCAGGAATCTAGTGTGTTGCTTTTCCTCTTTCATTTTTTTTTTTTTATCATCTGTGGAGATTTCTTTGTATATAAAACAAAAACAGTGAGCTGGTTTTGGATAGATGTATTCTGGGTCAAGCAGCTACTAGAAGTGAAACAAAAAAGAGTAATGTAAATAGCAAGAAGAATATTCCCCAGCCTTTTATTAGAATAATAATTTTTAAAAAGCTCTGAAAATTAAGACTTTAAAGACTGCCATTATGGAATCTTGTAAGAACTCATTCACAAGGGGTAATATTGTTTGTATTAGTTTTAAAAAAGATGTTGCCATCATTGTCTTCAAGTCTTTTGTTATGGCAGAGAACTTCTTTCCCAGGAACCCTTTGGAACCAATCCTTAAAAAAAAAAAGTTGAGGGAAGAGAGAGGGAATAAGGAAAATGGTGCTAGCTGCTCCCACTTCAGCCATCTGAAGAAAAGTTAAAACTGTGCATCTTCTAAAGGATTGAATATTAGTCTTGCAGTGTCATTTATCACAGAGACGGTAGGTCTCCCTGTGTTCCTGTGGGAGCATTATCATCTCTCATTTGTACATCTTAATTGGGTACATCAAAGGATAAATTCATGTGATCCTTGGAATTACGTCATGAAAGTGGTGTAAGTCTTTCAGAAATACAATATATACAGTTTAATAGTTATTAAGGCAGCAGTAAGAGTAATGATTTCTAACATTATTTGCCCTTAGGTTCACAATTACATACAAAACAGATTTTGTGAACTAGTGGCAAGGTACTGTTCTCGGACATCCCTATTTGATTCTTTTAGAGCTTCCTTCTGCAGACTTCTCATTAAGCATATATGTTCCACTAAGGATGTAACTTATCAATTGCAATTGCTAATACCAGTAAATGCAATCTTTAATTTTTGAAATCTAAAGCCAGTTATGTTTTGTTGACTTGAGAAACTTTGCTTTTTTGCTGATAAGCTTCTTCAGCTTTATCTTCCAGGAAAGTTAGAGCAACACCACCCAAGAGATGTTTCGGTGCAGCTTGAACCAATTGTCTACCAGATCCTAGAATGTTAATGTTCAAGCTTCAAACCACTTCTGCAATTTTTTGTTTAAACATCATTTGTATTAATTATAGTATTCAAAGTAAAAATAAATAAGTTAAATACACTGGAATTTAGTTTACTATGTATTGGGGGAAATTATGTAGTTGTACTGAAAGACTCAATTTTATTATTAAACTTATCCATTAGATATCTAATGAAATCTCCACCTTTGGAGATAGTCAGAGCTCAAATGGGTGAGGCTCTGAGCAATGTGAACTAAGGTGGCCCTGGGTGGAGCAGGAGTAGGACCAGGTGATTTCCAGACGCTCATTCTGACCTGAATTGTTCTATGGTTTTATGGAACTATGAAATTACTTTTTTTTAAATTAGATATTACTAGATCTCTGATATAAAGATGTAATAAAGAGATGCAGATCAATAAACAAAAGCTGTATATTTAGCCTCTAAAGTGTGTGATAAAGAGAATGATAAAAGGGAGGATGATTTTCTCTGGCTGAAAAATAAATTTATTGAAGTACACTGAAATTAAAGTAATGCAAAGTAAACCAGATGCTGGCTAAAGTGAAATTAAGAACAAAGTGCTTTTGAAGAACAACTAGCAATCAGAATTTCTGCTTGCAGACTATGAAGGGTTCATGGTTTATCAAAGAATATCTATTAGCTTTTTAATCACTAGGGGAAAGGGAAGTGGAATGTTTGTTAACAGCAGAGGTGTCAAGTGGTCCTCTCAAGCAGTTACAGCCATATAAAACCCAAGCTATGCTCATGCTTTTATTTCTTCCTATTGTGAAGACTGTTACAAGCATTTCAAAGCATTCTTATCATTGATGTTTTAAGTCAAGTTTATGTACAAATGGCATGTCCAGTCAATGTAGGACATGAATCATTGTACACAAAACTGTTCATCTGTTTTATGCTGAATTATGTAGTGCACATCTTGCTTAAATATGAAAGATAACATTGGTTGAATGATCAGTTGAACAATACCAATTAAGGTATTGTTAAAAGCTTCAGTCACATAGTCCAGGTAGTATAGATAAATAGCAAAAAGTTATGATGCAGTTGATTAAAGACCCTTTCTTCAGCTCTTAAGATTTTTTCAAAAGAAAAATTAAAGAAAAAAGTATTACTTTCTTATTTTACAGAGCACTTGATCAGGCCAGCCAGTCAAACAATCCCTGCTCTTTTGGTATGCTAATGACTTTAGAGGTATTGGATGGTATTTAAAGGAGTGTAGGGGAAAAAAAGTGAGAATTTGTTAGCTAAGCAAATTTTTAAAAGCAGCACTTCATAAATGATTCTTTGTGAGGGAAATACTACCCAGGTTTGAAAGGATTGTTTCACTGTATGTTTACTAAATAAGTTTTCAACAAAGTTTGCATTAATGCTGAATTTTCTTTGAAAAGCCCATACTTGAGATTGCATCCATAAGCATAACTATAACACGTCAAAAGTCAGAAAGTAAGAATGTACTAGTTCCTAAGCATTTGCTTGTGAAGTTGGGTAATTATGGTAAGTATTCAAATTTTAAGTAATAGGACCATAAAATGCTTTCCTGTTTTCAGGTGGCTTATCTTACATCTTTAGGAGGGAGACACATATGTTTTCTATATTATTGGTCTAGTGCTGTTTTTTCTATCAGTCTATCTTATTTCAGAATTTTGAAGTTGCGGAGTTACAAAAAATCAGTAACACATTTGAGGTTAATTTAAGTACCAAGGATATTAATTGATGAAATGTGTTTTCCATTCTAATGATTGTATCATTATATTTAAGTAGGATATCTGAGGCATATCAGCAATCAATATGTATTGACTATTTGGTACATCGGCAAAAAAAAAAAAGAAGTGTTCTTTTCTAAAAATTTCTCATGCCTCAAAGCATTATGCAAAGATTCTGGCTGGATGTACTGATCCTGAATTGCTAGCCAAATCCTTTACGGTATAGTCAGTCAGACATAGCAGAGTGGATGTATCTTGAGTTTCTGTAGACTTGGAGAACTCCAAAATGAGATAGTTGGAAACTCAAGAGAATTTAATGGATAGGGAGAGCAAGTTCACTGTATGGTATTTATTTCTTAAGGAGGAATCTATAGCATTTGACAGTAGCATGCTACTACTGATAGTAATTTTTGTAACTCTCTGCCATTATGAAAATTGCCTCAAATTCTGCTATTTTCCAGTGCGCTTTTACGTCAACCAATATGCTGTGTGGTTTTGTTTAATTACACAAAATGTTGCGCAATTGAAGTGATCAAAGATAGTCCTTTTTTACTCCCAAATTTATTGTTTGCTTTGTTTGGGTTTTTTTCAGATAACAATAATTCTTTTTGCCTGAAATTATACCTTTCGTAGGTTTAGCCCTATTTCTGGCACAGCTGTTGCTGATGACAGAATTTGTGAATAACACTTCTTTTAAAGGAATTGCAAAATGCATAATAATTTGTCCTCTTGTCGTGGTTTAGCCCCAGCCAGCAACTAAGCACCACGCAGCCACTCGCTCACTCCCCCTACCCCGATGGGATGGGGGAGAGAATCAGAGGAGTAGGAGTGAGAAACACTCCTGGGTTGAGATAAGAACTGTTTAATAATTGAAATAAGTAAATTGAAATAAGTAGAATGGTAATGATAATAATAGCAATATAATAATGATAATGATAATAATAATATACAAAGCAAGTGATGCACAATGCGATTGCTCACCACCTGCCGACCGATACCCAGACAGTTCCCGAGCAGCGATCGCTGCTCCCCAGCCAACCCCCCCAGTTTCTATACTGAGCATGACGTCATATGGTATGGAATAGCCCTTTGGTCAGTTTGGGTCAACTGTTCTGGCTGTGCCCCCTCCCAGTTTCTTGTGCACCTGGCAGAGCATGGGAAGCTGAAAAGTCCCTGACTAGCATGAGCAGTACTTAGCAACAACTAGAACATCAGCGTGTTATCAGCATTATTCTCATCCTAAATCCAAAACACAGCACCATGCCTGCTACTAGGAAGAAAATTAACTCTATCCCAGCCAAAACCCGGACACCTTTGCAAGCATTTAATTTTGAGTGTGATGCCTTATAGGTTACAAATAAACAGTAATATGAGTAAAAGTTACATTTTTCAGAAATAAAAGAGCATGCATACTATATTAATACTACATTTGTACTGGAGAAAATGGATCAGCTTTACTGATGTAAGAAATTAGCAGTCTTTTGGATTAACACGGGGAAATCACGCAGGTAGTTCTTATGCTGTTTATATATTCCGTGATGAATTTGGAGCTGATATGTATATATTAATCTGTGTTGAAGCACTTCCTTGATTCTCTGTAATTTCTCTTTTCCCAGCACAAAGGATGATCATTTCAGTGTTAACATTCAACCCCCTGTTGGAGAACTGCTTTTGCCTGTCACTATGTCAGAGAAAGACTTTAAGAAGGAGCAAGGTGAGAAGTATTTCAGCAGCTTCAATAAATGTATTTGGATGAGAAGAGGTCTGTGTGCCTTTCAATTTACAAATGTGCAGCAAGTTCTTCCAGTGTAGCTGTTTGTGTTAGTCTCTGATAGTATTCAGCCTGATACTAACGGTTTAATTTTAAAATACCTTAAAAAGGATGTGCAGTGGTATTTGACAGGTTTTCAGTGTGCCTTTAGAAGTACAAAGCCCACCCTTTACCCTGAAATGGTGTTTTGGCTCAGAGAGTTTTGGCTTCCTAGCATGAAGTGTGAATGTCTTTCCTACTATCATTAAAGCAGAAAGTTGGAACTTTACTATTAGTAAATAGTAAATACTATTAATGTACCTTTTCCTCAGCTACTTGAAGATGATTTTAATCTTTTTCCTTGCAAACACTTCATATAAAAAAATATTCTTGTTGGAATACTGTTTTAGAAAGGTGACATCTTTTATATACTTCTGCATTCTTCTGATGTTGCATCTTTAAAGAATGTAAGTTTCTGACACTCATCCAAACACAAATCTCCGTAAGAGCTTTTAGTGACTTGAATATTTTATGCAAAATAATTAGAGAAAATTGTACTTAGCTTTGACCATGTGTTAAATGGAACAGTCCATACTGCTACCCTTAATTTGGATATCATTCTTGGATATTTTAAAATATAAACAATTACGTTTTGGATGTATTCAAATGTAATAGTGTTTACCCATGTATCTCAATGTATGGGGATTTACATGTGTAAATCTCTTCACACTGAGATGAGAATATACCCATGGGATCCTGTCTCATTGCTGTGTAAGGCTCAGAAACTCAGTATATCCATCAAGCAGTCAAGAACACCAATGAGTAATGCTGTGTATTATTAATTATTGCTTTTGAGCATTTCTTGCTTTTCTATTTTTGAATGATTAAGAAAGTAGTTTAAATATTGCCTAGATCACTTTCAATTAAGCTTATGGCTGCAGTGAAAAGTTAGGATTGCGCTTTGTTTTCTTAACCAATTGATACTTATTTGCTGTTCTTACCCTTTGCTGGCTAAAGCCTGCCTCTCTGCTTTATACCTGCTCAGCAAACCAAGGTGAGTGATTGAACGAGGCTATGGCACATTTATTTTAAACTGTTCCCTTCTAAAAATTGTAGCTGAGGTTGTAGTGAAAGCAAGGCAGGTTATTGTGCTTCTCCCCCCCCCATCTCTCCCCTTTTTATATTTGCTTGCTTTGTGATATTTTGATAGAGTTTTTGTATGTTTTACTGTGACTGAGGGCTTTTTTTCCTCCTGACTGGCCATACAGAACCATGAGCACATAGAAGAAGTGTACTTGGAGAATAGCTGTGGTCCTCTGTGGAGTTGTTGCCAAAATTCCTTTTTCTTCTGCCATTTTACTTCTATGGTTGTTGATTATTTGTCTGAATAAATCTGGCAGCTGTTTGCTATGTTTAATAGAGCAGAAAGGCTACTCTGAATAAAGCTATTTGAAAATTTGTTTATATGAAGTATTTGTAAATCCATGAAGGTCTCTTGGCATTTCTGTATTGCTCGCTCTGTCTTCCTGAATTCATTCTTTGATGCAGGACTTGATGCTGGCAAATTTACCACAGGTTTAAAAACCTTTTCTATTGCATCTTTTTTCTTACAGATATCAGCTGTTTCAGAATATCCGTGGTAATAGAGGTCTCAGTTCTAAATTTTACATAAGTATTTATTACAAGGATCTAGGAGCAGCTAGCATTTGGGGAGAATTACTGTGTGATCTTGCTAAATGAAAAATCCAAATTACAATAATAAATGCAGGGCAATTTAGAAGTTGGTATATATTATTCTATTTTGTGTTTAACTTCAATTTGTCTGTATTCTCTGAATGAATCTGATTTATATAGCCTGTTTTTCACTTGTCATGCTTTTTCTTTTTCCTTTTTTTTTTTTGTTTTTGGACATAAGATGTTTCAAGTCTTGTACCTGGAGATGCCTTATTTTATTTGCAACCAAAACAAATAGGTAAAAATAGTGAAGGAGTGAGGAGAATATTAGAAATGCAAGATTATATTGGGGGAGAATGAGAATATGTATGGGTTTTAAGGATTTTTACATCTAAATTGCATGTGTAACCTAATAAGAATGCTAAAGAGGAAATAGCCGGTACTATACTGCTATGTAGCAGACAATTCATTGCTACACATCTTTACTCAATTACACTCTGCTGTTTTGCATTGTCTGTTACATTTGTATATGTCCGTTTTCTTCCTGATGGCATAAGACGAGGGAAACAGACAGGTTATTGAATATTCATGGCTGTGAAGGTTATCTAGTGGTAGCAGCAGAACCTCGAAAGCTGGATTTATCCACATGTGGCACATGATATGCTTAGCCTTGCTAAACCATCTTCCCTTCCCTACTGAGCTGGGGAATCCTCCGGTGAGGTAATTCCCCAGAGCAGCAGCTGAGTTAGCCATTGATGTTGTGATAATTTGGAAGCAGTGGATAAAAATGGTATTGCCAAACTACTCTTTACCTTTCTGGTTAAATATTTTTACTGATCTTCAGGCCTCAGTATTTTATACCCTGTTTTACATCACATTCCCATGAAAAGTCCAGTTTCTGTAGCGGGAATTCTACATGATTGAGCCATATACTGTTGGGATCTCTGTATCCAAACTTTTACTTGTTTGTTGTTTTTAAAAATCAGTAGCAAAACTCCCCTTGCCTTAGTTCAGAATAGGACTAGACTGGTAGCTAACATACCTTGTTACCTACCAGTGTAATTTTTCCAATTTCATTTCCTTTTATTGTTAAAAATGTGTGCAGTTATTTCATTGTATCAGTTAGTTAACCCAGATTAATTGCTGCTCTGTGCTCTGACTAGAGTTTTCTTAGATTCTCATGTTTCAAGCAATTTTAAAGGTGGCATGTGATTGTTATAGCTGGATATTAATCGGATTTTTATTAAGGTCTTTTTAAAATGACCATTCCCTCCCCCCGCCACCCCAGACATGTTTTAAAATAATTTTGTCAAATTTTTTTAAAAAGCGTATACCTGATTCACATTAAAAAAAAAAAAAACACAAACAAAAAAACCCAAACACCTTGGTTAAGTAAACAAATTGTTTACCTAATTTTATTAAGATTTATATATCCAACTTGTCTTCTGAACAAGCAAGATGCTAATCCTTTAAGTGGTTGGACATTTACTATTTTCTGGCCCTTGACTACCACGAGCAATCATATTTGATGCCCCTTAATTAGAGCACCCTTTTTTCTTTCCAGGTTCTTTTCCACCTCAGCAATCGAGACAATACATTTGCTTACCATGCTGCTCTCCTAAGTGTTCTTTTGCATGTAAATTAATCTTGATTCAGTTTACACTGTCATGCTGAGTGGTACAAATTGCCTATAACAATAAAACAGCATGAGTTAAAAATAAAGGGGGGTGAAAAGGCAGATTGAATGTGTGCCTTACTTGATAGGATGTTACTTTGCTTTATGCCAATACATTAGTCGACGATAATGAATCTTCTGTTCTGAAAAGCATGGTTTAGTTGATTTTTTTAATTTTACTTCAATGGAGCAGTACCTTGTCTTTTATAGAACAAGTTAGACAAACCATTAATGACAAGAGTGTTAAGGTTAAATATGAAGCAATGCATTCACTTCTCTGAGTGCTATCCATCTTTCCATTTACAGGAGCTTGACAAAAGTACTGGCTTTGTACAACATTTCCTTTAATTACATGCTGCGGGAAACAGGCTTTTAACATAAACATAGTTGCATTCATTTATTCAGCATTTGCTCTTCAATAGAGCTTAATGGAGAAGGTTTAAATCCTAAATGAGTACACACATCTCTCAGCAGTGTTATGTCAGTCCCTGTGCTCTGCTTAAAAGCAGTTTTAGTCTGCGTATGTAGTTTTTAAAGCTTTTGCCTAATAGTGAAGTTAAACAATTTGAAACAGAATGTTCTATTCCCAAGATAAAGCTGATTTTTACAGAAGTTGTATGCTTATTTTTGTTCTCTTCAAGAGCAAATCATGTTCAAAAATATCGCGTTATTTACTTTCCATTTTTACTTTGATATTTCTTATTTTGTGACAGCAGCTAATGCACATTCTAGTGCATTAAAATGTTGGATTTATTTTTTTAATTGCTCTATTAAGCATCTTAGTGCCATTTGCTCTGGGTTAGAACTGTATGTGCAGCCCTAAAATATTAGCCTTCTGAGACTTTTGCATTGTTTTCATTGTTAATGTTATCATGGATTTCAGATGCTTCGTATGTCTGCCTAAAGTACCATGCTCCATTGTTTGTCTGCGTTTTCAGCTTCTGAACATAGTGTAAAAATACACAATGTTAAGTTGTAGTTGCTGTTGGGTTTTAATCAACACAAGCGTCGGGCAAGTCATTCTTCTAAACAATGGCTGTTGATAGAAGAGAAAAGTGGGAGTTTTTGTTAAAATGTCCTTGAACAATATTTTCTTCTTTACTTATTTTTGTCACATGTTTGGATATAATCTTGACATTTCTGTTCCATTTTGTAGTGATATTCAAATTACTTTAATCAAATAGTTTATCATGACACTTTAGAGAGATGGATACTAACTGAATTTCCCACTTTCTAATGTGATGACTTTATCTTCATGACTACCATCTGAATTTCAAGATTATTTTTAGCAGCTGGATATGAAATTATAATTAAATGCAGTGGGTTTATGACTGAAAGATTAGAAGGTGTCTTAGAAGGTGTCTTTGTATATGGTCTTACTTAAGCTGGACTTTTCCAAATCTGTCTGACTCAATATTTAATTTCTGTGTTTACATTCTTCTTTTAAGTTATGCTTTTTGTCAAAAAAAGATCCATCTTGGTTTCACAGTTTTACACATTAGTATTACACATATCATTGTTCAGTTATTGGCAATTTGTTTCTAATAATAGGGCATTGCAAGTAATACATTAAACTAATGTAATTATGTAATTTCTTATAAAATTGTTCTCTCAATGAATGATTTAACTTTTAATGCAAATGTGTTTTTTTGTTTAGAAGTCTCTTATTTTGGTTTTATGCTTAATAACTGAGCAAGTCTTAAAGTATTCATAATTAAATACTTAATGTTTCAGGGATGCTGACAGGAATGAATGAGACATCTGCTACAATAGCTGTTGCTCCACAGAACTCTACTAGACTTGTAATAATTGAGAGGGTAGTGAAGGCAGCAAACCTGGGTATAGTCCCTTCTGGTCAAGATAACATACACAGGTAAGATTACATGTCATTCATAGTGGAACCATCTTTTAATACAAATTTGTTAGTTTAAAATTCATCAACATTTGATAATATTAGGGAAAACTTTATTATCCACACCTTTAATGGACAAGGTACCCAATTATACTGTAATGTAGAAGCCTAAGCAGATACTAACTTGAGCCTAAGTACTTCTCAGCTCTTTATTTGAATGTATATAGAACAATCAAATATCTAGACTTTACCATACACATTTAGGGGGAGTTGTCCTTTTCTGGTTTTGTTTCAAAGGGAAAAGAGAGTGTTATAAAGCACAGTACTTTCAAGAGTGTCTGTACAGTTTTCTGACTTTTGTTTCTGTTTCTGAAAGTAAGTGTCCTTATTCAGGTTTATCATCGTGAGAAGCAGCTTGGTTTTCCCACATTAATTTTTAACCTGTGATATCCAGCTAGTTAAACCTTTTTTTTTTCCTGTTGGACAAATATCTTTTTAAATGCAAGTTGAACATTAAATTGAACATTTCCTTGACCTTCCTGTATACATACAAGGAAAAAGAGTGATCAGCCAGAGAAGTCATTGGTCCTTTCTAAATTCCAGATGTTACTTGTAGATCAATCCACTTCATCCAAAAGCTGTGGTATAGAATGTCAGTGGAACTGATATGATTGGTTAATGACAGCTTTGAATGTGACTGACTCAAAATATTTAGGCCCATGAATCCATATGGCTTCTCACTCGCAACAGGAACAAACAGGAAAATTGCCATTTATGGAAAACTGAAGTGGACACAAATAACAGCAGCAAGTTGTAATTGGAAGCTATTAACCTGGTGTTGGAATAAGAAAATGCATACATCTCTCCTAGCATCTGCTAAACTCTTCCAGAGTGTGAATTATCTCTTTAGCCCCCAAATTTTGCTATTTCAGTAAGAGCAAAGTATCTTCTTTTAAAGCAAAGAACAATGTTTTTCTTTGAAATTTTGCTGACTGAGATGGCTGTTTGGAATGGTGAGAATACTGTAGCCTACACAGGACTAATAACCTGATATTTCTCTTTGTTGGATTTAGTCTTTTTTGCATCGCTGGGCATTTGCATTGCATTAACATTAACCCAGCTGGATTTTCCTATGTATTTGATACGGTCAATGATAAAATTCTGTTTCACCATAAAAACATGGTACAGCTAGTGCGATTGCACTGAAATGATTGTCACTATTGACACCTGCTCCTCCATGAAAGAGTCCTCATTTGTTGCATCCCTGAGGGATCTATACAGCCTGCGTTCTCAACATCAATTCAAAGACTAGGTGAGAGTGTCAATCAGGAGAGACTGAAGTGTCTGCAGTATACAGGTGTTCTCCATCTTTACCCTATCCATCACATGAGAATTACCACATAGGGATGGATTGTTTTGTGACTGTCTCAAAAAGGCTTCCTGAAATAATAGCTTAGTTCCTAGCTCAGCCATAGGTTTCCTGATTGTAGATAAGTTTCTAATTTCATCTTGCTCTCTCTTGCTCTTTTTTTTTTTTTTTTTTCCCAAGGAGGTTTTCCACAAAACAGAGTCTATGACCAACAGTAAATAAATTGAAGATATACTTCCTGTTGGGTACACTCCTTCAGAGACAGTGGCTGAAGGCATGTTCTGGTCAGGCTGAAGTGTTCAGAGTGCTTTAGAGCATCCTGAAATCTTCTTTTCTTTTTTTGATTCAAAATAGACTGTATTCAGTCTGCCACAGTAGTTACAGAATAGTTTGCATTATAACATCCATCAGGCAAAAAAATTTGTTTATAACAACTTAAATGGCCTACCAGAAATGCCCAGCAATGGTAAGCATTTAGAAAATAGCCCTTCATTTGCTTCACCATAAGTAACTGGAACTCACAGATACTATGTAGTCATAATTGCACCTAGTTTTTACTGAGAACAGGAATGGGAACATTAACTAATTGTTACTGTGGTGAACCTGTTCAGCTTTTGAATACCACTATGTTATCATTAAAGTAAATCCCGGATTTAGGTGAATGAGTATTTGAGATAGAGATTAGATAATGAATACTTTCAAAATTCTGAAACAAATGAAAAAAATATTTGTATATACAAATTGTATACATATATTTGGGTTAAATCAACTCTGCCATGAGAGTAAACCAAAATGGAGTCTCTTCTTGCAAACTCTCATAGATGCAGGAAGTGTGCCATATTTTATTTATGTGACACACACACCATTTCAGGATGATAAAATAAACAGTCACCTTTTACCTTGACAAAACAGTTATGGGTTCAATAAAAAATACATTAAAAGTGAATTTTTTTCTTTTTCTATAGTATTGTCATTTGTCTTGTTTTATTGCAAATAGTATTTGGGGAAAAAAAATGTATACAAGAACTTGTCTCAGCTCATCATGCTATTCTGTGAGGACTACTTGAGTTCACTTCTTGGAAGTGTTCAGTACATACCCTTTTACACAGGAAAAGAAATACTATTTTTAAACTGACGTTCTGTGCTGTGCAGCATGAATTATATTAACCTCTTAGTTGGTCATCCCCCAACTTGAGTATTACTACTTAATGACAGCTAATGCAAAGAAATTTATATTGCCTGGTAATGCAATATACTCATTCAAAATGAAATTGTATGTTTTAATACAAGTGTATCTAAGGAACATGAACAGGTGCGTGTTTCTTGGTTTTTTTCAGTCTAAACATACTTGCACTTATGATGAAGATGTTGTCATGCTGGTGGGACCCAATTATTGCTCCTTAAATTGATAACGCTATTTAGGATTGTATTTTTGCACCAAGTAAAAACACTTAGAGCAAATATAATGAAGATTTGAAAATAAATACTTGAAACAAATATCGACAGAATAGCATGCAGTCACCAACGAAAAATGATAAAAATGTAAACCTGTCAAATACATCCACTATATATCACAGTATAGCAACACTTTCTTACATGCATTTTTTTTTCCTTACCATATGGCTACTGAATTTTTTTATTTACTTGAAATTTAATAATTTAACTGTTAACTGAGTGTAGAGCAAAATTCCAGATAATACAGCTCGTTCTATTTTAAACTCTCTTTTTTTCAAGCCTGTTTTATTTGAAGTGATAGCTGCAAAAATTTTGAACCCAATAGCCAATACATATATTAGAACACAAAGGTGCAGATTTATATCCATATGTTTGCAAATTAAATTTGCTGTACTATTTTACTTCCTTAAGTGTGGTTACCTGTTCTTCAAATGAATTTATACAAGCTATTAGATTACTGGGCCTTGTAAGGCTGCATACGGTGCATTCTCATGTTTTAACAGAATTTAACTATTTTATGTATTGTTCTCTCTTGTTATCAAGGGGAAACATTATTTCAATGTTAAAGGCTTCTACTAAAAACATGAAAGTGAAATGCATTTCAAAAGAGATTTTTTTTTGAGCAGGAAATACAATGTCTCCTTAAATATGAAAACTTCAGAAAAAATGTGTATTATTTTTCTTAAAATATATTTTCACATGAGTGATTAGGGCAATTGTTACAATATACATAGCTCTTTCAATGTTCTGAGAACTGTTATTTGTTAAAAATATTTTAAGAAATGAAGGGTTGGAAGTGGGTTGAGGAGCACATAGATGTTGACAAAGTGATTTCAAAAAGAATAAGCTAAGGCACCAAGCTTCTGTCTTGTGATTCAGACCACATCTGTGGGCACCATTTGAATATCTAAAGACAAAAAAAGCATTTGTTCCTTGGGGGAATTAAATCTGTCTGAATAACTACATTTAGGGACCAAGTACTTTTCAGTTGAAGGATGTCTGTTGTTTGTTGTCAGTGGGAAAAGTTACCAGGAATTTTCCCATCTTCAAGATAAGAGGATACATAATTGAGGACATTTATTCCCTCAGAGTTGATTCTTTTATGGACCGTCACTTCAGCTCCCTGTCTCTACTTGGGCAATAAAATTCATTGCTTTAAATATCAAAAATAAATTCTAGGCTGTTCTATTTCAAAATGTGATGAGATGAAGACACTATTCAACTCAAGATTTTCAGTAATTTTCTTTTTAACCAGCACAAGCCTTATTTATCCAGAAATGCCCTTCATGCTAGTTTTACTTTCAAGATGTGTTGCTTCTTCCTCTCAGATGAATATTCTAGAAGTTCCTCAAGTTTCTTCCTCCTTTATTCATTTTCAGTTCCATAACCTCCTACCAGATTAGGATCTTCATTTTCTTCGCTTTGAATATACCAAAAGACAACAGATGGTGATAGAATGAAAAGACTAGTTGCAGACTTTACTTTAATCTTAGAAAGACTTGAATGCTCTTACGATCCTCTTGAAAGTGTCAAAATATTGTCTACTATTACATAAGGCCTTCTGCGTGAAGGAGAGTCGTTTCAGGGTGAATTGGCTTAGACAGAAAATAATGGAAATACACATAGAAAGCATTTCTTTCCACTACCTACAAAATACAGTGCAAAAGCTTTTAATGTGTTGGTGGCAGCAGCATGCAGCAGCAAAGTCCATTCAGAGCTGGGATCACAAACTGGATTTGCTTCTTCACACTTTCATTTTGTTTTATGCTTGTGTGATTCCATTGACATCAGAATATAATATGTAATGGGATGCAGAACCAGGCTGTCTTGAACTGCCTACCTATCTGCCTTCCACTTCCTGAAGCATTTCTTAAATGGGATGCATTGTACTGTAGTAGATTATTTCCCTCAAGGACTGTGGCTGTACAAAGTGGTGCCAGGTAGAGCACCTTTTCCATGTTTTTCATTCTTGACGACTTTACTTGCACATTGCGCAACCAGTCAGTGAGATAAAAGTCTGAACCCATCAGGGTGGATATAAAGAATGAATTTTAGTCAACCTCAACTCGCTTAATAGTCCATTGAACTAGTCTGTTACTACTGTTGTATTTTGGAAGGAATCCACAATTAGTAACAGGAAAGAGTTGGGTTAGAAAGTGAGCATGGTGTCATCTACATATCTCTATTCTGCAGTTCA